AGGGAGGGGAGGGCAGGGGAAGAGGGGAGGGGAGGAGAGGAGAAGAGGGGGAAGGCGGGGGAAGAGAGGAGAAGGGGAGCGGAGGGGAGGAGAAAAGGAGAGGGGAGAGGAGGGGAGAGGAGGGGAGGGGAAGGAGGAGAAGAGGGGAAGGGGAGGAGAGAGGAAGGAGGAGAAGAGGGGGAGGGCAGGAGAAGAGAGGAGAAGAGGGCAGGAGAAGAGAGGAGAAGAGGAGGGGAGGGGAAAAGAAGGGAAGGGAGGGGAGGAGCGGGAGAGAGGAAGGGAAGAGGGGAAAGAGAGGGGAGGGGAAGGGCAGAGGGAGAGGAGGGGAGGGGAGGGGAAGTAAGGGAAGGGAGGGAAGAGGAGACTGGAGGGGAGAGGAGAGGATGAGAGGAGAGGGAGGGGAGGGAAGAGGAGGAGAGGAGAGGAGAGGAGAGGAGCAAAGAGAGGAAGAGAGGGGAGGGGGCGGAGGGAGGAGAGGAGAGGCAGTGTCACAGAGCAGGTTGAGGCAGCTTGCTTGAGCCACGACAAAGCAAATTGGGTTAAGCTTCATGTCATTTACGAAAGAGAATGTGGTTCCTTTAAATATTTCAACGTAAAGAGTAAAATTATAAGAGAACACAGTACAAATGCGAGTGAATATTTATCCACTTTATGGTGGGAAAGGCCTTTTGATATATCCACAGCAACAAAAGCCAAAGGAAAAAGCAGTGATTAGCGTGGCGAAAGCCAGGGTATTATAGCCAACACTGGGCATGATTTCAAAGACCACGAACAGGCAGGCAGACAGACAGACGGACGATGACACTGGCAGTGTGATGTGCTTCAGATGGCTTGGCAGCGTCTGCCAAGTGGCTTAATATTCTCAGTATATAAGAGCTCCAGGAGGACAACATCCCAAATGGCGGGTGGAGGGGTGGCCTGGATGGAGAGCTTGGAAAAGACCCAACATCCGAGCAGTAAACATGTGGAAAAAATATGGGATCTTCTAACGATCAAAGAAATGTAAACGAAGGCAGCGGTGGCATATCATGTTTTGCTGGAAAGATTTTCCCCAAGTAATGCCCAGCGCTAGCAAAGACCCAGAGCAGTGGGCACTGAGCCACTGGATTTATAACTGGCCGGGCGGTTTTGTAAAGCAGTTTGGCAGGAGGCATGAAGAGGCCCAACAGGAAGTGTCAACTCTTAGAAATTGATCTCGAGGCTATTTGATGTGCGCCACAGTCCTTGTGGACAGGGCCTGGAAGGGAGTCGGCCAGGGCGCTCAGCGGCCTTCAGGGCCCCTCGGGGGCTGGCGCTAGCGTCTCTGCACTTCCACGTGGAGTACACCAAGTGTGTGCTCCTTTCCCAACTGGATTTAAAGAGTTAATAGAAAGGAACCTTCTACGCCAACACCCCCGCCGTGTGGAGACAGGACTAATGTCCAAGCTCTGAGACGTCACCCTGGGCTTGCTGTCTTTAAAAACAATGTGGTTTTGTTTTCATCCTGTTGATTTTGTGCCTTTTCTGCCATATCTCAGAAACTCTCTTCGGGAAAGGGCTCAAAGTTTAGAAAGAGTTAGGCGTACAAAGATGTTCAGCACAGTGTTATGTGTAATAGTGGCGAGATTATCTGCAACCGCCAGCGTCAGCGAGGAGGCAGCTTGATGGGAGGTAAGCCATTAAACGGAGGCAATGAGAAGCGGGGCCGATGTGAGAAAAAAATGCTTGTGGCAGCTGTGACACGTTGTGGAAAAAATCAGGATGTGAAATAAGGAATCAAGGCGTGGTGATGCACACGTGTAATCCCAGCACTCAGGAGGCTGAGGCAGGAGGATTGCCGTGGGTTTGAGGCCAGCCTGAACTACACACTAACCCTCAGGGAAAAAGGTATGAATAGAGAAAATGTATTTATGCTCAGTGGAATACTATTCTGCCACAAAATGGATAAATTTGAGCCATTTGTAGGAAAACAGATGCACCGAGACCGTGATGTTAAATGAAATAAAATCAGACACACAAGCTTAAGTATCCTGTAAGTGTTCTCTTATGAGGAACCCAAAATACAAATCAAGAGCAAAAGACAGTTGATAGGGAACAGGAAGACAGATCTTTTGTGAAAAAGAAGGGGACCAAGAGATGGAGGAGGGAGGGGCGGAGGAAAAAAGCCTCAAGGTGTGTCATGCACGTGCGCCAACCCCCGAGGAACGTAAACACGAACTGCAATGTGTGCTAGTGAAAAATGAAAACTGAGACAATATGGTAGTTATCGTGAACAAGGACTAGGAAGAGACTACAACACCAAGAGTGGTGGTTCAGGAAGTCACGTGGTTATCAGAAACATTTATTTTCTTCCATCAAAAAAAACCCCAAGCCAGGCACTATGATGCACCTGTAGGGCTAGCTACAGGGTGGGCTGCGGCAGGAGGATCGGTTGAGCCCAGGATTCAAGACAAGGCTGGGCACCACAGTGAGACCCTACATGAAGAGAAGAGAATCCAGCCCTTCTACAAAGCTATTATATTCCTTTTAAGCTTTGAAAACCAAAATTCAGGCAAATGAGCCACTCTCCCAATGCCTTGCCTAGGGCTGGATCCTGGACGGCATTCCTGAGACTCGGGAACAGGTGCTGATGATGCAGACGCTGGGGTTCGCCCCCAGGCATGTCAGTGAGTACCCCGGCCGTGGAGCCCCCTTGAGTCGCTGGTGCCCCAACCCCATCCCCAGCCCAGCCACCTGTGACCCAGCAGGAACACCATGCATTCGCTTCGATTCGGCCTCAGTCACAGAGCTGACTCGCTCCGGACTTGTTCTTAAGAAAAGCGGGTCCTGTTTTCTCCCTGGGGAGGCCTTGTCCCAGGATCCTGTGTCCGAGGGACCCTCTTTATGGGAAGCATGGTGGAAACACAGGCACAAGGAGGGTCACCTCGGAGTTCCTTGGGACGTGAGCATTGCTGGCGCAGAGCTACTCCACCCGGCTGTCCTCCCTCCCTGGAGAACAGGCCTTGCATTTGCAGCTGAGATGACCTCTTCTTTAGCAGTCCCCGGGCTAGGAGATGAGGTGGGCTAGTGGCAGTATAGAGGGAAGGTCCGTGAAGTTCAGAGGTGTCAAACTCAGCTTACCCCTTCTCTGCCCAGTTGTGCTGAATGCACCGGACTCTGTCCTGATCGAGAGAAACCTGGGAAAGAGGATCGACCCTGTGACCAGAGGTACGGGCCTGCCCACACCCCACACCCACACCCACGCCCCACGCCCCACGCCTACGTCCCATGGGAACACCCCCCCATTCACCAAGCACCCACCCAAGGTCCAGAAAGACGCACAGGCGGATGTGGGTTCAAATGCCAGGACCAGGCTCTGAGCTGGAGAATGCTGGGAAGTGGAGGCCCTGTGGGTACAGGGTGGCGTCTCGTTCTCTGCAGAACTGGGCTGGAGTGCAGCTGGCGCTGCAGGCAGCAAGCCTTGAGCGCACTCTGCTGAGCTCAGCCCCTGGCTCCAGGCCTGCGAGGATCTAGTGGGAGCCTGTCCCTTCTGGAAAACCATGCACCCCATGTTCCAGCAAAGCCAAGCCGCAGTCCCCTGGCACCGCCCCAGAATCCGCAGATGGGGATGGCAGCCCCTGGGTGGGTGGCGAGCTGAGTCCTCTCCACACAGAGATCTACCACACCACCTTTGACTGGCCACCTGAGTCCGAAGTCCAGAACCGTCTGGTGGAGCCGGAGGGCATCTCAGAAGTGGAGACAGCTCGGAAACTGCTGAACTATCACAGGAACATCATCCGGATCCTTCCTGCCTACCCCAAAGTCCTGAAAGCCATCAGCGCTGACCAGCCCTGTGTAGATGTCTTTTACCAGGGTAAGTGCAGACACACAGCCCTGTCCCACCATCATCCAAGGGCTGGGCTCACCGGGCCGCCCACCTCTCATCCAGGACCACCAGGTGGTGGTGGTCAGGATGTGCCTGACATGCTGGGGGGTCTTGGAGTAGGTTTCCTGCCCAGAAGCCTGGGAAACTGGGCTAATGGGTGTGGCTAAAGATTTAAGACAAAAACAACACCCACCTACCAAAAAAAAAAAAGCCCTCCACAGTACAGCTCAGGAGTTATAACTCTCTTTAGAGCAGGGATAAGCAGCCCTGAGCCCAGTGCTGCCCTGGCATCCCCAGCAATGACAGATGTGACTGAGCAGCCTGCAGTGGCCCTTGTGGCGCGGGGAGGAGAGATTGTGGCCTGGGAGTTTATAAGTTGTGCAAGTCTTGGCCCCTGTGCTCAGGAGCTGGACAGCCTCAATGGTGCCACCCCTAGAATCAGGGCCAAGCCATGCCTTCCCCGCAGCTGCAAGTGGGGTTCAGCAGAGTCTCCAGGCCGCGGGTCCCTGCCGGGAGCTCAGCTTCGCGGTGAAGGCTAGGTGATGACCATCCTTCACCATCCTGTCCTCGCTTGGCAAGGGGCCCTTAGAGTAATCCTACCCCCAGATAGCTGTGGCATCATTTTAAAGTCTTGCTGTCTTAAAACCTCGTTCTGTCTCCATCCATACCACGCACACAAAGCACTTAGCTTGTTTTGAGCCAATAAAATCGCACGGCTTGTAAAGCCCTTTTCTCCACCCTCTCTCAAATCTCTAAGAAAAGTTGATTTTGATGGGGAGACGACATGAGGCCCCACATGCTGCCCTGCTGACCCCTCCTTTGGGCCCGCCGTGAGCCCTGCTCAGCCGTCACCTGGTGCTCAGGTCCTAGGCAGTGACCCTGCTCTGGAGCTGCCAGCCCGACTGGCGTGCACTTTCCCAGCACGTTGGCATCTCGGAAGGGTCTCCAGTAGCCAACACCGTGCTCTTAAGATAAACATCCGTCGCGTTTATCCTATGCCGTGGTTCTGAATTTACACATTAATTACTTCCAAATTACTTAATTAATTTTAAAAGTTCATATGATCAGGCATAAAGAATTCATGCCTGGAATTGTAAGTAAAAATGCGAGTGTCTGAATATTAATTATTATTAATTAATAATGCGGAGAGATAAATTGAAAATTGGGATGCAAAATTCTCTCTGTGTTGTTGTTTTGATCTCTCTGCAGCTTACCCAGCAACCACATATTTCTAAAAAGAATAATTAGATGTGGAGCCCGTCTGGGGGATCATTACTTCTAATTAACTTAGTTATTTACTGTAAATTAAGCATCATTTGTAAGCAGGCCGCCTCGCCTGGAATGCTCCCGCTTTTCAGAGGCTTGCGGATGAAGAGCCTGGCTGGGAGTCCTGCGTGAGCCTCTCAGGGAGGAAAGGACAGTGACGACCGGCGCAGGCGCTGGGAGCGTGACCCCGCAACCACCCGGTCTCTGAGCGGGAGTTAGACCTCTGTCACGGGCCTGTGGGTCAGCAGTGACCACACGGTGGCCCTGGTGATGACGGTGGTGGCCGTCACGGCCTCAAGGGCAGCCCCCCGACTCTCCTGTCCTGATGGTCTGAACAAGAGGGACCTGTGGTGGCATCTCTAACAGTCTACCCCCTGAAAGGCACAACCCTACAAAGATTCCAGAGCTCAAGATTTGCACCACAAACCCATCCCAGTGGTTCTCGCTTGGAGACAATTTTTGTTCCCCGCCCCCCTCACACACAAGGGGAAGACATTTGAAAATGCCAGGAAACACTTTCTGGTTGTCCCAACTTGGGGTTGTGCTAGTGGCATCTGGTGGGTGGACTGCTCCCCGTCTTACTGAGGTATAGGTTGCCCCACACAAAACAGCCGCTGGGCCCCAATTACCCATAGTGCTGAGGCTCAGCAGTCCCCATATCAGACCCCTGTGATGAGTCCCTGGGGACCACATTGCTTTGCCTAGGACAGAATCACAGGAGGGACATTTACATTGGCAGATTGGGGGGACCCTGGGCTGGCCTGGGGCTTTGGCAGGGAGGATGCTGGGGTGGAACCCCGCTTTGAAGGCCAGCTCCCCTGGGTGGTTACCCTTTTACAGTGCCCTCAGCCTGTCCTCTCTCTCCCCTCTTCTCTGCTTGAGAGCGGTGGCCTGTTTGATGTTCAAGTAGCTTTGCCCTATGACTTCTTGGTTTCGGGCACCTCCCACAGTGCGGGTCACCTCGTCACAGTAGACGGTCACCTCTGCCCATCCTCCACTTTGTTCATCAAATGCCAGGGCACACTGCAGGCGAGGGCCGCATGGCTGCATCTGCCGGCTCCTGTGACCTATCTCATCGTCCTCTTTGGAGACGCAAGACAATGTTGGTGTCAGTGGAGTGTGGCTGCATAAATTATTCTCCCCCGATTCCCCAGCCCTTTAGAAGTCCCGGCACACTCGGGCCTGTGCAGCCTGAGGCACTCATCAAAGCCTGTGCTTGACACTGGGGCGCACCCTGCAGAAAACCAGGAAACCCCTCCCTTAGGAGACCAGCCAGCAGGGCCTCAGTTCAGGGCTTGGCCAGGTGCAGTTTGGAAACTGCGCTGCTGTAGAGACTCCAGGGGTCTCCACACTCCCTGGCCACCTTGGTGCTCAGGCCTGATGCATAACTCGTGCCCTGCTGCCTCTTCTCTTGGGCCAGGAGAAGCGTTGCATAAGGGTTTCTGTGGTACTGGAAGGAAGGAAAGAAATAACGAGCCCTCCCCCTGCTCTGCCAGAGCGGAGGTGCCAGGCCCTTCCTCAGGCCCTGGCTCCACTGCCTGCATCTTCTCTCTCCAGCTCTGACCTACGTGCAGACCAGCCACCGCTCCAATGCTCCGTTCACCCCAAGGGTGCTGCTGTTCGGCCCCACAGGCAGCGGCAAGAGCCTACAGGCCGCCCTCCTGGCCCAGAAGTACGGGCTTGTCAACAGTGAGTGCCCAGATGCTCCGGTGTCCCCCTGCCTTCCGCTCCCAAGCACACGGGTCCCCCATGCAGGGGAGGGCGGGGAGGATGCACATGGCATGGTCTCCCTTGCTTGCTCAGAGCTGATACCAGCTCGCATGCCTTTACAGAGATATGGCTTTTTCCTCCCTAAAAGTATAGCCGTAAAGACATTCACCCATAAAACCATGTCCCCAGCCAAGGAGCCGACAGCCGTCTGCTCATCATTTTTATGTCCTCCCTGCGCTGCCGGGTGCCTGTGCCTGCCCCGGCCCTGCGGTCGCCTCCCGGGGCCTCAGCGCTGCACACCAGGCAGGTTTATTTGCTCTGGTCTTAAGCGTCTCCCCCAGCCCAGGTCAGCGTGTTTACAAGCAAACAATCTCTGAACCAGGGGAAGACTTCTCGCTCTGCACAGTTTCAATAAATATTTTACCAGGAGGCAAGAAAATATTGAAATCAGCTCTCTGAGTCATGGCTGAGGCATCCCCGGCGGTCCTGGAGGCCATCCTGTGTTCACGAGGATGGAGTGCTGGGAGGAGGAAGAGCCGAGAGCAGGCATGGGGTTGGAAGTGAAGGCGCCCAACTTACAAAGCAGGAGCCCTGAGCCCCACATACTTAAAATGCTTGTAATTATAGCCTCAAAGTACACATACCAATATGCAGGCATCTGTGGAACGCATGCGCGCACACACGTATTCATGCTGAGATATAGATATAGATATAGATATAGATATAGATATAGATATAGATATAGATATAGATATGTATATGTATATGTATATGTATATATCACCCCCCAGAAGGCTAATGTTTTGGATAAAAATGCTCTTTAATTAAGTCCCATAAAATTAATTAGGTCTCCTCCAATGTAAAATTCCAAAGCCACAGAGATTAGCTAAGAAGCAGTGACAAAAATCTTACCCAAAAAAAGGGTAGAAGACAGGCATGGTGGGGCGTGCGTGCCCCCGCAGCGTTCAGGAAGCTGAGGCAACAAGATCACTGTGAGTTCAAGGCCAGCCTGAACTACCCAGTAAGCCCAGATCTCACAAAGTTACAAAAAAAAAAAAAAAAAAAAAAAAAAAAAAAAAAAATCCCTTAGCAATTATTGGCAAATTTCATTAGTATGGAAAAGTCCATAGACAGTAAACAAATGCTTTTTCTTAATCCATTTTTAAAGGAATTATCCAAATTACCTCTCCTTCTGATTTTACGTTTTAAGTGTGCTGAGTGGACAAACTTTGTGGTTGGGAGGGCTTCTTGGTAAATGCCCAGCTGTCCACCTGTGGCCACACTATGTGCTCGGCTAAATGTCGGCGCTTATGTTCTGTGGGGACACGAAGAGGTATAGTGAAGCCAGCCGTGGTGGCACATGCCTGCAATTCCAGCACCGAGGTAGACTGAAGCAGGAGGACCTCAACTTCAACTGCCACCTAGGCCACTTCAGGAGACCCTGTCTCAAGATAAAAATTAAAAAGAACCGGGGCTGTTGCTTAGGGACAGAGCACCCATGGGCTCAGTCTCCAGTATCTCCCAAATAATTAAAATTTTAAGAGGTGTGGGGAAAGAGGGTAGACATGCAGACCTGACAGTAGTACCTCACATGGCACATGGGGCTGGCAGGAGGACATCGGTGCCGCAGCCTACCCCCATAGATTTGTTCCTTCAGGCAAAGCAGTTTTTAAATCTAAGTTGAGGGCCAGCCAAATAGCTCAGCAGATTAAAGGGCCTGCAAGCAGGCGCAGGGGTCGGGGTTTAATCCCACCCCAGGGCATGCTTAGACAGCAATTGAGACTGGGCATGGTGGCATGCGCCTGTAATCCCAGCTCTTGGGAGGCTGTAAACAGGAGGATCACTATGAGTCTAATCCAGTAGTGAGACCCTGAACCCTGTAGACCCTTCCCTAAATTACAAAAAATAATAATAAGTCTAAATTGCTTTCAGGGCTGGAGGGATGGCTCAGTGGTCTAAAGCACCGACTTAGAACAAGCTTAGCAGAGCACAGGGACCGCGGTTCAATCCCCCAGCACCACATGCCAGCCAGCCCCGCCCCCTGGTGGGCTGAGCTGGCCACACACACACACACACACACACACTAAATAAATAAATAAATAAATAAATAAATAAATAAATTGCTTTCAGCATAACTGGTCATGAGATGAAATTCCCTGCCTGGATTGTCCCAAAAATGAAAATAAAGGTGCTCACAATGGATTTTTTTCTTTGTAATTAGCCACCCTGAGACTCTGTTAGATAATTAAGCATTTAGAGATCGATTCAGAAAGCTTGTATTTCTGAGGTGTTCTCGGTAAGCAAATGCCAGGCTGGCGCCTCAGGTGAGAGCGGGCAGCCCCGGCTGTGCCCCGGCTTGGCCCCGAGCTCCCCATGTAGGAGTCCGTGAGCTGGGGGACATACCTGCGGCCAGCACTCGCTTCCCCAAGGTCATCAGAAGACCCCCGTTTCCAATTGTCGGATCTCTAAAGAGCACAGCTCTTTGCAAAGAAGTCGCTCTGGCGTGGCTAACTGCTTTGGCCTGGAGATTTCGTACCTGAGATTTGGTTCTCTTGACACTGAAATGCGTGGCTGAATGTGAGAAGAACCAGCCGCGCTTGAGTTCGTGCCCATGTCGCTCCCCGAGAGCGGGGCTGGAAGCCGACTGCGCTCGGCTTGCTCAGGGGTGACTTCACGGGCTGTAAAGGTGCCTCAGCGCGGGCGCCTCACGACACGAAGGGACCTACGTACCCGAGCGATCACCTTGCGCGTGTACTGCGACTCGGACTGATTTTATCAGAATCGCATTAGTATTTCTCAGGAAGTGCCCTCCGTGCACGCCACTTTGTTGGCTATGCAGAGGAAACCAGAGGTAGAAAAACTTAAAAGAAAGTTGAGGGTTAGCCCTGCAGCAGGGCCGGGGCAGGAAGCGGGGCGGCAAGACCGATTCTAGCGCAGCCCGGCCAGCTCTGTCTGAGGCCTTGTGTCTTCTCGCGGGCCCCCTGCTTCCTCGAAGCTCACCAGCTCCCACAGCAAGAGCCCAGTCCCTTACTTGAGCATCCTGCCACAGATATAAATTATTAGTACTATTATTATTATTAATTTAGTTCTTTGAGACAGGATCTCACTAGAGAGTCTAGGCTGGCCTTGAACTCACTATGTAGCCCAGACTGGCCTCCAACTCCCGGCAGTCCTCCTGCCTCAGCCTCCCGAGTGCCGGACTGCATACCCGGCTTAATTATTTTTTAAGCCAGGCATGGTGGTGCACACCTTGTGGCACTAGCGCTCAGGAGGCCGGAGGGTCACTGCAAGTTTGAGGGCAGCCTAAGGTCTATAGTGAGACCTGTCAGGAAAAACTAAAAATCAAAATAATACAACTGTTTTTCCTTCTAGGCTCTGAGTCTTTGGAAGGGAGGACCCTGTTGCATGGATGTCGCCGCATGAGGCGGTCGTGGACATGGGGTGTTAGAACTGTTCCCTTCTCTCGTGAGCAGTGGCAGGGACACAGTGTCCCCAAGGCGGTGCTGTAGCTTTGTCTCCTCTCAGTCCACTGTTTCCATTCTCACTCGGGCCACACGTTTCTGAGAGCTCCTGCGCTTCAGTTTTGGGAGCCTTGCACTAGTTAGAAGTGCATTGCCTAAACTAGCTGGAGATTTTTCCAGATTTTTGTTGATGCTGTTGTTATCGATGTATGATTTAATCCTGTTGATGTCAAAGAACACATCCTGTATGTCTTTGATCCTTGGAAATGTATTGATTTTTTGGAATGGACTGGCAGATGCCTGGACTGGTGGGGCCCACGTGCAAGAATATGCGAGGCGGAGAAGGCGTGTCTCGGGCTGTGGGATCGACGGCGCCCTGCAGGTGCCAGCGAGGCGGCGTCCTTATGCCCTCGGTGGCTCACTCTCTACCCGCGACTCCCAGTGTAATAAATTCCCCAGTTCTCTGTGTGGGTTGGTCTCTTTCCTGCCAGCTTTCGCCTCTTGGGTTTGCTCAGTGCGTGCTAGGAAGTGTCCCCCCATGTCTCTGGTGACGTCCACTTTCTCAAAGTCTGCTTCGGTAATCAGCATTCCTGTGGTGCTTCTTATGCCTTTTAGGCCGTCCATATCTTGATATCTAATTATGTGTCTCGTAGAGAGTGTATGGTGAGGGTTTTCTGTTTTTTTTAAATCTAGCATGCTGTCCTTCGCATGCACGTGAAGCATTTAGTGTATGTCCAATTGAAGTAAGCTTTCAGTGGTAGCTTGTAAATCTAGCACTTGGGGGAGGTTTTTGTTGGTGCAGTTTGCTTTCTGTTTCTCTTTTCCTTCCATCTTTTGGGATGATCAATTAGTTTTTGTGTATTTTTATGTTAGGGGGTACGTTTGAGACAACGTTTTGCAATATGTAGTTTAGGCTGGCCTCCAGCTCACAGTGATCTTCCTGCCATACCAACTAGGTTCGAGTGATTCACTTTTCTTCCTCTATTGCCGTATTTAGTTCCTCTCTTTGCTTTAGTGCGTTAGTGACTGCTTTAGAGATTACTATCCACCCTTTGCTTCTCGGAGTCCTTCTTGAATTAATGTATGGGAAACTTCAGCACAGAGCTGGGTGTGATGGTGCACACCTGTAATCCCAGCACCTGGAGGCTGAGGCAGGAGGATCGTCATGAGCTCGAGGCCAGCTTGGGCTACACAGTGAGTTTAAGGCCAGCCTGGACTACATAGGAAGACCCTGACACCAGGAAAAGAAAATAAGAGGAGAGGGGGAGAGGGGAAAGAGGAGAGGGGAGAGGGGAGGAGAGGAGAGAAGAGCCTCTCACTTTCCTTTGTGTTGCTGTGGTCCTATATGCTATAAACTCTAAAATATGTTATGATTATTTTTGGTTTAAAGATTAAAAAATAAAGGAGAAAGACTGTCTCTGTGTTTTCACATACAACACACTTTATCCCTTAGCTTAGTTCTAAGTTTCCTTCTGGGATCATTTTCTTCACGGCCTATAGAACTGTGTTAAGCATTTTGTTTAGTTCAAGGCTGCAAGTGACCAACTCCCTCACCTTCCACACATCGACAATGGCTATGATTTCACCTTCATTTTCAAAGGATGTTGTGCTATGTATAGAAATCCAAGTTGAGTCAAAGATGTCATCCTCAGGGCCGGCCGGATAGCTCAACAGACTAAAGTGCCTGCTTAGGCAGAGCGCAGTGGCAGGGGTTCAATCCCCCATGTGCCATGCTGGTCCTGCCCCCCAGGCACTGAGACGGTGATTGAGACTGGACTGAGCATGGTGGCGCACGCCTATAATCTGGCGTTTGGGAGGCTGAAACAGGAGAATCACTGTGAGACCCTGTAGACCCTGTACTGAATACATACAAAAAAAAAAAAAAAAAGATGTCATTCTCATTTCTGGATTGCATTTCTCCTGATGAGAAGTCAGAGGCGGTTACCCTGTACATGAAGCATCTCTCCTCCCCTCCAACTGCTGAGTATTTTCTCTCTCTTTTAGCAGCTTGACTATGACACAGAGCGGTGTGGCTGCCTTTGTGTTTGGCTGAGATTCCTGATATGTGGTCTGATGCTTGTCCTCCCACTGTGGATTTCTCCTGCCATTGTCCTCTCAGATATTTTTATGTCCCCTCCTCTCTAGGACTTCTCTCTCTGGGACATTTTTGTGTCCATCTCTGGGGCTCCAGGGACATCATCTTAGCTGCTTATTATTCCCTCCAGGCACTGAGCCCCTGCTTTTCCCTTCAGCCCTTTCAGTTCTTTTTTGTTAAATTTTGGAATCTTCCATTACTTGTTTTCCAGTTCCAGAGTCTCTCTCTCTTTGGTTCTATTTTCAGTTTCCCTTTGTCTGCAAAGGTTCCCCATCTGCTCATTCATTTTGACTATCTTTTCCTTTAAAGCTTTAAATACATTTACAACCACTGTTTTAAAGGCTCGTGTGCTATTTCTGGCATAGATGTCACCTCTTGCTGCAACTGTGTGGCCTTTTGTCTCTCCCTGGAGGGGCCAAATTTTTCTGATTTGCTCGGTGTCACATAGTTTTCAGTCCTATGCTGACATCGTGCTGCTCGTGCGGTTGCGAGGTGGGATTGTGTGGTTCCATTTTAAGAATCCTGACATTAGGAATGGGAAGTATAGTGAAGTGGGCAGAACTGGAGGCCGAGCCCCGATTCCAAGGCCCCAGACCCGGGGTCGGGTATCAGCTGGCCACTTCCTCACTCTGGAACGGCCATCTAGAAGGCTGTGAGCCTCAGTCCCCTGTGCAAGCAACGACAGATCTTCAGGAGAACTGAATTTTTACAAAGCCAACAGCGCAGTGCGTAGCGCCACACACAACGTTCTTGGTCTCCACCGGCCTTTTGGCACACGGTTCCCAGAGCTAGTGAAGTTGCAGGCCGCTCAGGGCAAGATCGCCCCTGTTGGGGCTGGTGAGATGGCTCAGTGGTCTAAAGCACCTACTTAGAACAAGCTTAGCAAAGCACAGGGACCGCGGTTCAATCCCCCAGCACCACATGCCAGCCAGCCCGCCCCCTGGTGGGCTGAGCTGGCCACACACAAAATAAATAAATAAATAATTAAAAAAAAAAAAAAAAAAGATCGCCCCTGTCGTTTACAAAGCGAGTTAAGTGTGTCATTGGGATGCTTTATGTCTCTGGTGATGTCCTTGGCATATGGCTCCTGTTGTCCTGCTAGTTTTGGGGTTGCTTTTAGTTTCTGTAGAATGGCAAGAGACTCCTTAACACCGGAGGTTAAAAAACCTGTGGTTGTACCATTAAAACTCAGGAAAGAGCAGCCTGTCTTCTGGCTTTGGCTATCAGGGATTGCACTGGTCACTCCCTTGTGTCACTGGGACAGAATTCTCAGTGTCCTACAGTCTCAAGAGATTTACTGGCTCATGACTTTCAAAGGGCTCAGTCCATGGTCACAGACTCCAAGGTGGACACGCATGGCAGAAGGCCTGGATGGAAGCTGCTCCATCCACGGTGGACAGGAAGTGGGGAGAGGAGGAGGAGCTGGGGGAAGGACGCGCCCTGCCGGGTCACCCCAGTGACACCTCTGGCCAGCCTCACCTCCTCACACCTCATCCAGCTGTGAACTCATCCACGGATGAGTCCATTGGTGGGTGCAGCACCCTCCACGATGTGGTCACCTTCTGAAAGCCACACCCCCAAACACATGAGTCTTGTAGGGCACATTTCAGAACTAAGAAATGGCCTTCTTCCCAGCAAAGAGGTCAGCGCCTGTGCATATTGATTCAGTCTATTCAGCTCCTGTTGACCGTCCACTCCCATGTGCTGGCCTTGGCCCAGGGCTGGAGTCACAGGGGAGCAGGATGGAAGGTCCTTTGCAGCCATGGGCACACTTCCAAAGAGGACAGTGGCAGCGGGCCAGGGAGCTCCAGCTGCTGCCTTTTAATTATGAATGAGTCCTCTTGGTATGTGAAATGGGCCTCTTCCTTGAGGGTCTGTTTGTTGTTTGAGACAAGGCCTCACTGTCTAGTTCAGGCTGACCTCGAGCTCAGAGCGATCCTCCTGACTCAGTCTCCCAAATGCTGGGATGACAAACGTGTGCCACCACCCCCAGCTTGGCTCACCCCTGGGACCCTCTGACCCTGGACTCTCTTGCCCACCGGGTGGCTTGTGGAGCCACCGTGGCCCCACACTGCTCCTGTGTGGTGAGGCTGCTAGCATTGAGCTCTGCTCAGCAATTCCAGGCACCGCTGCAGCCCGGCCCATCTTTGCTAGTGTCTTCCTGCAGGGTCCGTTTTTAGTGTGTTCTTCACCAGTTTGCACTTTGTTTTGCCCCATACCGTCCTCTTCTCGCTCACCGCCCACCCCCTCTTTGATTCTGACTTCCGCTGGGATGAAATCCTGTGGGCAGAAGAGCCTTTTCTACTTTCTCAGCTCACCCCCCAACCCCGCCATTAGCTCCTTCGCTCCTTCCTTCCTTCCTTCCTTCCTTCCTTCCTTCCTTCCTTCCTTCCTTCCTGGTTCTTCCTTCTGCTTGACGTTTCTGTGTCTTTCTGTTCCTCTCTCCCACAGTCTGCTGCGGGCAGCTGATAAAGGAGGCCGTGGAGGACGAGTCCAAGTTGGGAGAGCTCATCTTGTCCTTCTTTAAAAAGGGGTTGACAGGTAGGTTGAGGCCCTGTGAGGGGCTCAGGGCAACAGATGGGAAATGGGGTGTGCTGGTCACAAAGGCTTCATGGCTCCTTGGGAGGCCGCCTGGCGTCCAGGCTGAGCCAGGTGAGGGAGTCTGTGGACGTGGTTGATGGTCCCCGGGGATCTGGAGGTCCCTGCTCCCCAAGAAAGTTTGCTGCTGCTAACTGGTAGCACATGGCCTCAGAAGCCCACACACAGAGCTTCACCTGCATTCCCTTCAGGGTACACCAGCCAGCGACTGAGGTCTGGGGGAGGTGAGGCATTGTCCCTGGACCCCAGGTCGGCCATGCTCTCCGTCCTCAGGGACTGGATAGGGGACCAGAGAAAGCACCCAGATGCCCTCAGTCACCCACAGCCTTTGTAGTCACAGGTCTGAGAATCAGGAAGGCTCCAGGACACAGAAATGAAAGACACAGAGCTGCCAAGGCCGCGCAGCCTGGGCTCTGCTAGCCCCTGTGACACTGGCCCAGGACAGTGTGTCCTTCATGGTGCTACACCATCGTGCGGGCTCAGTTGTCCCATGTAATGTGACTCTGCAATTGCTGTGGAGAACACAGTACCCTACAAACCCTCTGTCGTCCTAGCCCACACATGCACTGGTTGGGACGTCTGCCCAGCACGCTGCTGGCTGTCTCCTCCACCGCTGCCTGGGCAGAGTTCCTTAATGAGGAGTCACTCTTGCTGCTAACCATCAGCTGAGCGGGCTGCCTGGGGAGACATCCCGGCATGGCTTTCCTGAGCCCCCTTCCCCCCGAGGTGTCCTGGCCCCCAGGGTGAAGCTTGAAAGAGGTGCGCTGGATGCTTGGGCCACAGTGACCTGGGTCAGGGAGCAGGCCACTTGCAGTCACTGTGGCCGCACCCAGGAGCTCCCAGCAGTGTGGGAGCCAGTGTGGGCTGGGTGCTGTCCCCAGCAGTCACGTGGCCCCTCGGAGCACCATGCCCTTCTTGATGCCCCTGGTTAATTGACGGCAAATGGAGGTGACAATCTCTGCCTTGTGGGGTGCTCCTGCCACTGGCAGCTGCGGATACCAAAAGTAGCCAAAAGAGCAGCAGCCACCGCAGGACCCCCAGCGCAGCCGACTTCTCTCCAACGCCAGGCTCCAGACTGGGGTGCGGCGGTGGCGGTGGCTGCAGGTGGCACACAGAAGGCTCACTGAATAAACGACAAGTGAGACTGAAGTAACTGAAGTTTAGACAGCATTCAGATGTGCTGTGTGCAGCGCTACTCATAACTGGAAGAAAGCTTAGCTCTCCACCAACACAACCTCTGTCGGTCCAAAAGCAAAGCCAAGGCCCAAACAAGGAGGCAGCGGTCACCACTAGCAAGTCTGGGGAAGGCCGCCAGGTGCACGTGGGCTCTGTGCAGGCTTCTGTCCATCCGAAAAATTGCCCACAGTATTAAATAACAAAACATCGGTTGAAATGGCTCCCAAATTCTCACTCCTTCGATCCTTCCGTGGTGCACAAAGGGGACACACAGACCCTCCTGGGCCTGCTTCTGCCATCGCCAGCTGTCCCAGGTGTCCAGGTGCTTTGCCACTGTGAAGCCCTTAGCAGTCCAGTTCTCAGGTCAGAGGTCTGCAGGCCAGGTGGTGTGCGGGCTGCGCTCCTCCCGGGGCTCCTTCCTGCCTTCCTGGTGCCTGCACGCCTGCCGCATCCGCGGGCCCCACTGATTTTTCTTCATGCCTCTATCCTGTGTCTTGCCCATTACTTCAAGACCCATTGCGATTTTGTAGTTTTAGCCTTTGTTTGGGAAGAGAATGGCGAGCCACCCCAGCTTCCCGGTCCCAAATGCCCTGGTGTCACCGTCAGCGAGGAATCACGTTAGGATGTTCTCTCTTGGGTCAGGACGCTCGGCCTTCCTGGCGTCTTCCTCCACTCTCCTTACCTGACCCAGCAGCCTGATCTTTCGCCTGACAGCGAGCGGGTCACACGCCTTCCCGGCTCTGTGGCGTGAGCCCCGCGTTTAGGATGGATTCCACCTATGTCTACAGAGGCAATGGGAGCATTGTTGGTTACTACGGCACAGAAATGGGTTCCCAAACCCACGCACACTCACCGTGTGCACCCAGCGCCTTGGTGTACAGCGCCCAGAACAAGCCCAAGTGCGCCAGGTGGTGGTCCAGCTGCAGAGGAATTTGATTTTTGGTTTTTGGTGATTGCAAAGGACACTGTGTGCGCAGTTACCACTTTCCTCTAAGGTCAGGGAGACCTGAATAGCTTTGATTGTCAATGTTTCTTGCTATTTTATTTCTACTGTTTTGTGTTTATTTAGACTATGTAGCTCAATTCTTCTGCTCTTCCTACAAAATTAAAGACACAACAACAACCAATATCATATCTTCCTAACAGAAGCAGTAAATCTTGGCACTTCGCTAATCCTGATCTCGCAGGGATGGCAAAGAATGCATTTGCGTTCGTAACCACTAACAGGGTCTCATTAGTGGGCTGTGGAGAAGCTGCCAGGAAACCAGAGCACTGCGTTTGAGGAGGAGCGGTGCCACTGTCACCCGGGCCGCGGGGGCGGCTTTGCCCCCGGCAGAAGCAGGAAGGACAGCTAAGCAATGCTGCAGTGGTGGATTCTGAAGAGAGTCACACAGACCGGGGCCCTGCCCAGCCAACCACAGCCCTGCGGCTTCTGAGTAACTGCTGTGAATGGGGCCCCAAGGCGTCCTGCGTAGAGTGTCGGGGACACCTGTGACCCAGGGGTCTCCTAGCCCCGGGTGCCACTGGTGGGGCACGGGGCAGTTACAGCCACCCAAGTTCAGAACTCTTGAGCAGCAGGTATATGATCGGCTGGGATCTGAGGTCCCAGTTGGGACCGCCAAGGCCAGGTCTGGCAAAGCCACCTGATAAATGGCCACATCCTGAGAGTGAGCACAGGAAGTCGGGGGACAGGAAGAGCTCGGCTGAGTGGAGGCAGCAGTGGGAGCGAGTCTTCCCAGCCCTGCCCTGTGTGTCCTGACACACTCAGGACAGGCTGGTTTAAGCCCTAACACTCTGGCACTCCTGGAAGGCTGTGATTGCTCCCTGTGCCTTTGGGGGCCACAGAGGCACCTCAGATTTCCCTCTCCAGAACCCCAGGGGCCAGCAGCATTCCTGGGCGTAGAACGACACCGGCCCTGCTGCAGGACACAGGGGGCTCCACTCAGGAGCAGAGGGTGCAGGGAGGGCAGATAGCCCCATCACCGTGGTCAGAGGCCCCAGCGTGGCGCGTGCCACTGCATCCTACCATCTGGCCACCTGGTGTGGAACCCCATCCTCAGCACCCCCAAAACAGCAGCGCTCTTCCTGGGGACACTTCCGCACCCCTCTGGGTCCTTGCCCCGCTCCTGGGGACTCCGCTGTCACCTGGCAAACCCTGGGATCGAGGCTCACGCCCTGCCACTCACCTTGGCGTGTGTGCTCCAGAGCCCAGCAGCGCTGCGCACTTCTGCTGCCCTTGAAGCGCTCACCGCCGCCGGCGCCACTTGGCCCAGTAGCTCTAGATGTCGTCTCCCCCTGGAGCCCCTAGCTCTATTCCCCCCAGCCGGCCTCAGGACGCTGTATCTCAGCCTTGACCTCTACAGACTTGGTGATGTTCCTTCTCAGTCCCTGTGGGTGCTGCCAACACCTCCGCCTCTCAAATGAGCAGCAGAATGAATAACAGAGCTGCGTTCCCGCCTTCCCCCATTCTCAGGCGAAGGGCTCCAGGGCCCCATCTCCACTCATCTATCCCTTGGTCCCAGGCTCTTGGCAATAGGAAGAGGCGCGGGGAGATGCCTGTTCTGTGCCCTGGACTTTGAAATATATAGGCCTGACCTCCTGTCCCCATTTGGCTCCAGCTGCAGCGCACAGGACAAATTTATTCCCCTGGGTCGTTATGCAGGGAGAGCTTGGGGGCTGGGGCTGCAGCCTTTGTCTCTGGGTAGCTGTCACCATTGCCTAGTAGGAAAGCAGGCTTTGGAGAAGCAAGTTCACAGCCTTTCTGTGGTGCAGTTGTTGGCCCAGAATGAGTCCATCTCTGTTGGGTACCCCAGTAATGTGTGGGTACGATTTCCTCTCCAGAGTCAAGCAAACAGCTACCAGGTCTCACTTCTTTGCTGCAATCTGTGGGGGCTCACACTGCCCACCATCAGTAGTTGTGAGCCCCCCCCCCAGGCTTCGTGCCTTCCGCAAGGCTTTCTGGGAAAGCAGACCTGGTATCTGCCCCTTGGGACATTGGGTTTCCCAGTTCTCCATGTAGAACCAGCCCCTGGCAGGCTCCCAGGGAAGGCTGTGTGGATTTGTTTTTAGTCCGCTTCAGAGGAATTTCAGCCATGAACTGGGGTCCAGTGGCCGCTGGCAGTGGATACAGCCCATTTCCAGATTCGGGTCAACTTCGCCACACACTGCCCTCTGCTTGGTTTTGGGGGCATCGGTGGCTACCCGGCTCTGGGAATCACTCTTCTCTCCCGTTGCCCGGGCCAGCTCTGGAGAACAGCTGCCCAGGGACAAGACTGAAAACAGCCAGGGGTGAATCGTGTCCTGCGTGGTCTTTGCCCTCAGTGTGCAGATGTGTGTCAGGACCCCCCTGCAGCACCCGCAGAGCCTGCTGGAAGTGTCACTTCTGGGCCGGTGGCCAGCCTGCAGCCCCTGCGGTGCGATCCTTGGGTGTGGCTCATCTCGGGAGCAGGAGGAGAGCTCCACGCTGCAGCCCTGCTCACTGTAGCAGAAGCCCACATCCAGTAGGGCCCCGAGTCCCTCGATTCCCTGGCACACTCAGATGTGTGCTTGCTTCGAGGCGAGAGCGCAGCTATTTAAAGAAATAATTGCTCCCTAAAAACGAGCGTCCTGGTGGAAGAAGTGGAGTAGATCTCGCTGGAGCTGCCCCACCCCCCGCTTTGGGTCGAGCCCTGTTTCCTGAGTGTCCTGTCTGGGGAGGTTCCCTTGCCTCCAGCCTCCAGCGTGGAACTGAGACCGGGGAGAGCTTTGAGGGCGCGTGGGGCTGGCCT